GCACTATTTTGTTAGTCTTGTCGACGTGTTTTCCCAGTGATGTTTTTCTTTATCTTTCAAGGCTTTGCCGAGGCTTAAAACGCCTAGCGGCAATCCCTTGCACTACTTTGCTATTTCCTTAGCTATAGACTTCAAATTCGACTTATTGACACAACTTCCAGCCGTGTTGCGAAAGAGAGACCACGGCTCATCTTGCGACAACGGATCCATCGTCAAGATATTCGCTTTCATTCGACAAAAACTTCCCTGTTTTCAGAAGTTAACAAAATCTCCAATTTTTTTAAATCACTTTCGCCTGTTCCAAGTAATTCCTCGAAATCAATCGCTGTCTTAACATCATCGAGAACTATAAGGCTCCGGCTGTCGCCAATTCTCCGGCGCAGATCATTCGCCATAGCTTGTGACGTTGTATTTTCATCTATACTAAATCCTAAGTATTGACTGAGCTTTGAGTTGATTTAACTCGGTTAGCATTACAATATTTATTATATGTTCCTTCAGTCTCATTAAAATTGTCCATGTTACTTTAGATACGAGAGAAATATAACTAATAAATAATTATGATAACTAAATAATTTTATTAAAATTATAATTATTAAATTTATAATATGAATAAAATGTATAATCATTATATTTAGAAATGAAAATGAAAAAATTATATACTACGGTCGGAAAAAAAAAAAAAAAAAGAACATGCTTAAAATAACATATTTAGAACATAGCATATATTTTTGTTATAATACAGTATATGTATATGCTATATTATACATAAGTATATGTTGTATATCTTTATTATATATTTTTATTGGATTCAAATAGAATAATATTGATTTGATCAAATTAACACTCGATCGTTGTCCATATAGTTATATCAAATGAGCACAAAAGAAGTCCTATATTGGATGAGCTTGATCTAGCGTATACATTATATTTCCTTCGTTCTAAAATAATAGTTCTATTTTGCTATTTTTGTTCGTTCTCAAAACAATAATTTTATTTTTATTTTTAGTAACTACCTCCCCACTTTTTGACAAAATTATTTCTACATTGTCACAATAATTACACGAAGTAAAAGTATTTTGATCTTTTTAAAAACAATTTTACACCTATATCAATATAATACTATTATTCTTTAATTTTATTTTTCATGTTCATCCTAAATGTTCCTATTTTTACTTCAAAGAATTATGTTTAGGAAGTCCTTCATTCTTCATGTTAACAAGGCCCTATTGCAAGTGTTGTTGTTTTTTTTTTTTTTTTTTTTTGTTTAGAAAAAAAACAATGCAAAATACCTCTTAAAATATTATGATTATCATTTTTTTGTTTTTCAAAAATATTTTTATCCATTACTATTGCGACAAGATCGCTTGGGTCTTAATTGTTCGGACGCCTATATATACTTGTTATATTATCTCTAAGATTAAGATCGAAAATATACTTAAAATATGTCTTTGTCGCTCTCATTTATAGGTTTGCCAAGTTTAAATTATAAAAAATGAAAATATTCATTTATTAAAAAGAAAAAAAATAATAATTTAATGGAATTGATTTAGTATATTTAAAATTATTAAATTTATCAAAAATAGAAAATATATATATATATATATGAAGGCATGAGCTCCCTACAAAAGTGGGCCGTGGGCTAGGCCCGGTAATTCACCTCCTCTTGCCTAGAAATATAGGGCCAAAATTTTGGATCCCTCATCATTAAAAATACCATAGTTGTTTCCATTCGAATCATATGGTTCAAGCAACTGACGAAACTAACAACTAAATTTTAAGGGACAAAATGTATAATTTATTTAATATTTAACTAATAAATTTAAATAAAAAATAATGATACAATTATATATGAATTTAAATAATTTTTGGAGGAGAAAAATTATATATAAATACATAAAAATTAATATTTTTAACACTAACAAAATCATAAAAAATTAGATTTGGGGTGGTTCGAGTCCAATTCAACCCAATCAACTTCGAGTTTTGGATACCCGATCAAAAGATAGGATCGGGTATCAAATATGAACATAAATTTTGTATTGCATTATTAATTATTTATCTGTAGATAGAGTATATATTTAAAAAGTCTATATTGTGTTATTTTATGTATATATTATGTTCTTTATCATTTTAATAGAGAATCATATTTTAAAGAAATAAAAAAAAATGGATTAATGAAATTTAGTATAATCAAAAAGCAATGATATGTTAGTGTGTTAAATTTAATTAGTTTATGTTACATATACAAATTTATGCCGTTGGATTTTTTTGGTTTCAATTTTTTTATTTAAATTTTAATTTAATTTAAGAAGCATATGAACTTAATAGTATTTTTTTTTTCAAAAACTAGAAAAATAAAAAAACAAATAAATAAACGGAAATATTACAAAATATTGTTACAAAAATGAAATGCAATATTATTGGCTATGCTTTTTTTTTTTTACCTTTTAAAAAAAATCATTGTACAGTTGTCACAGTTTTTTATGAAAATATATGATAAAATATAATCTTAAATTACTATTTAAACACAATATATATAAATTCAAATAAAACACATTGATCCAGTAAATTATTATAAAATGAAATATCTTTATTCGATAAAGAAAATATACTATTAATTAATTTATTTATTTATTTTTAAATTACTAACTTGATAAATAGCACGAGATTTGTGCTGCTTCTAGAATGACTCAAGGGTGTGAATTATTAATGAAGGGATAATATTTATTATTGATACATGTTTAAATAAATAAATTGCAGACTGAGATGGCCCACCACACCCCCCACCTACCCACCCAATGATTTGACAACACGAGGTAGCTGAGTATGTTGATTTTGTATTTTTGAATAAATGTATTTTTTTTTTCATGTTATATATAAAAAAATATATTGTTTAAATAAAATTTAAAGTAATTTTTTTGTGATTTTGTTGTTTTGTTTTTGTAAGTAAATAAAATATACTTTTCTAATCAAAGTGATCATTTGGGGTTTTTTTGGTAGATTAAAAATATATATATTTTATTAGTTAATGAAAGTGTGTAAGAATTTTTGATATTTTTTACTAATTTATATATAAAGTAATTATATGTAATAATATATTTGAAATTTAAGTAAAAATTAAACATATTTTAATATTCATGTATAATTATTTTTTTAAAAACAAAATATTAATACTTTGAAGTGGGATAAACAAAAATTTTAAAAATAGTATTTTTAATTGAGACGAAAGAAATATGTTATATATTGTGTTAATATGTATGTATATTTTTTTAAAAAAAAAAAATAATAAGGACAATCATATCACTAAAAAATACAAAGTGAACACATCACCCAATAATTTCATAGACCACCCACCAAATATATATTTTTATTTATTTATTTTATGGAGAGGATACACCTTGGGTGTGTTTGTTTGGGAGATTGGATTTTGAGTTAGAATTTGAATAGTAAAAATTTTAAATTTGAATAGTTGTATGATGTGATATAAATAGGAGTTGATATGATGTTCTAAATATAAAATTAATTTTTAATATAATATAAAAAATAAAAAAATAGGTGTTTAATTTGATATTTTTTCGAAAAAAATGAGATTAATAGATTATTTAAAATCCAATATCCCAAACAAACACACCTCAAATTAAAACACACCCCACCAATAATGGCGAGATACACACCTCTACCCCCTTTTTTTTAATTTTTATTAACCCTGTCTGAAAAAGCTCATCATTAATATTTTATTATATCAAGTTTTATTATTATTATTATTATTATGTTTTTTCACTGTAAAAGATTCCAATCGATGAACAAGTTGGCGTTGTAGGTTTATGGTGTAGTGTCACCATGATTTATTCGTTTATCTAAAAAAAAAAAAAAAAAAAATAGTATATTTGTAACGAAATTCTGTTCCTAAAGTTCACATAGCTAACGTAATTTTATCTCTAATTCCGTCTCTAATATCATTAGTAACGAAAAAAATGAATTTAAGAACAAAAAAATCTCGTTACAAATATTTTTTTTGTAGTGCGACTGTGAATTAACGCATTATCAAAAAATATATATAATAATGTTGTTATAGTTTGAAAAAAAAAATTAATTATATAGTAATAATGTAATTATAAAACTTATTTATAAGGTTTTGAAAAGATTTCTTTTTATATATTAAAAAAATCACTATTAGTCTTATTTGGAATTTTGAATAGCATTTTTATTAAAACTTCCTTTTTTTAGTTCCAAAATTATTTTCAAAATGTAAAACTTTAGGAGTAATTTTTTAACAAGAACAATGAATCCAATAATATTCATATTTGAGTCAAAATAGCTTGCAAATTAGTCAATTTGATTCAAATATTTAATTCAACTTTTTTAAAATACGATTTTATTAAATTATTCGATTCAATTCAAAATTTTGTGATTAAATTTTTTATAATTTATATTAAAACGGTGACGAATCTATTTTTACATCGGATCATTTTTTTTAATTTGGAAAGGGATGGTATAGTGGTGCAGGGAGTTAATTTGTGACCGTGAAGTCATATGTTCAAACCCCGACGAAAAAAAATATATATATATACACACCATGTATATATATTATTTTTTATTATCTGTTATGTGCAAATCCAAGTCTTGGAAGGTGTGAAGAAAATTTTATATTTTATAAGTCGTAAATGAAGTCCATTAGTATTAGATATTTAAAAAAATAAAAATAAAAATTACGAATATGAGAAGAAAATGTTACATCATCCCAAATGATGGAAGAAGTACAAAAACAAATTGATTAGTTGACTCAGCTGTCCCAACATTATCAAAACAAATCTTTAAAACATTTTATTTATATATTTTATTCATATTCGAATTAAATATTTATCACTTCGAAAAAAGATATATATATATATATATTTATTTCATTTATTGCAATAATGCCCTGACCCTACCAAAACACCACAGAGAAATTTTATGTTTCAATAACTATCAATAACAAAGGGAAGTTCTTAAATTGTTCAAATCGATCTGTCAGAAAACCTCTCTATTAATTAAGCTGACCTGGAAATTGTCAGATTTATACGAATTCACAACGAATCTTTTCTATATATAGAAGGATTCTTAGAGCACCAAGCTTGTCCATCAATGGAGTCTAAAATCATGGCAGCTCCGAAGCCAAACGAGGAAGAAATAACCGCCGTCGAGGATCTTCGAAAGTGCATTTTTCAATTCACTGAATTGGCCGTCGTCCGATGTGTCGTCGAGCTCGGAATTCCCGACATCGTCGAGACCTGTCCCGACGGCACGGCGACGTTGGCCGAGCTTTCCTCGGCCTCCGGGTGCTCCCCCGACTTCCTCCACCGTATTATGCGGTTCTTGACTCATCACGGCGTTTTCAAAGTCGTGGGAATCGACAGTGGAGATTCATCGATTGCTTACGCCCACACGGCGATCTCCCGTCTCCTCACCAAGGATCGGATGGCTCCCATGGTTCTATTCTTGAGTAGCCCCGAGCTCGTAAACTCCAAGCTCAGCTTGTCGAAATTCCTCACGTCGAAAGCGCAAGATTCGAATGCGTTCGAGGCCGCGCACGGCGTGGATTTTTTGAGTTATATGGTCGCGAATCCTTCGTTCAACGAGTTGTTTTCCAAGTGCATGTCGTGCCTAGGGGGCGCGCACATATCGTTGGTGATTGAATACTACTCGGCCGCGTTTGAGGGGATCGGTTGTCTTGTCGATGTCGGGGGTAGCGATGGAACCGCGCTCCGTAAGTTGGTGAAAGCGTGCCCGTCGATTGTCCGAGCCATCAACTTCGATCTTCCCCAAGTCGTGGCCATGTCGCCCGGAGGCGATGACCGTATTGAGCACGTCGGAGGCGACATGTTCGTCGAAGTTCCGCGTGGCGACGCTATTTTGCTTATGGTACGCTACTATTTTAATCGTATGTTTACTGTGAATGATTAAGTAATATTACTAATACTCATATTATAAATTAACACTGGCTAAATCCCCCTGCTGAACCTAATACTCTGCAAATTAGATCCGATCGGCGTCGAAATTTAAACCTATGACTTCATTGTCACAAGTTCACCGGCCTGATTTATTGTTTATATGGATCCGGATTTTTTTTTTATGGATCGAATCAAATTAGAATGACATTAATTTTACCTAGTTAACATATATAACAAAAATAGACGAGATATGTTTTTACATAGCATAACATATATTATAAAAAAACATATATTGTCCATATTTTTATTATATATATCGATTAAAATCAAGACTAATCTTTATTTAGTCCATTAGCAGGAATCTCTTTCATATATTTGTACTTGTTTTATCAGTTTGGTCAAGATGTTGATTTAAATTAATGTTGACAGCCCATAAATATAAATTAAAATTGTCACTAAAGGTCTTAAATGAATATTATTATTGTGTTGATTTTTATAATGTCTTGTTACCTTATATTTCAAAGGTATGTTGTTTTTATATACCTTTATATCTTTTATGTACCTTATATTTATCAATTATAATATATGGATTACTTTTATTTATTTTAAATTCATCTACGCATTTATATCATTTTAATATATATATTATGTGATATTAGATTATTATTCATGTGTTGTCAGAGTATTATTTTATCGAACAAACATCTTGTTTTATATTGTATTTATAAATAACTTTTTGAATTTTTCACAAACTTTAATATTACAATATATCAAAAGTATGTTCATATATGACTTATGTTTTGTTATCGTAGTCGGTACTTCATGATTGGGGGGACGAGGAATGTGTAAAAATCTTGAAGAATTGCAAAGAGTCGATACCAAAGGAGACGGGGAAAGTGATTATTGTCGAAACTGTGGTTGACCACGGCAACCTTAAAAACACCTTCGAAGAATATCATTTGGCAATAGACATGGAAATGTTGTCCCAATCTACTAAGGGGAAAGAGAGAAATGCAAAAGAATGGGCCGATCTTCTCAAATCTTGCGGCTTTTCTAAACACACCATCAAATATATTCCAGCACCAATTTCTGTTATCGAAGCTTATCCCTAATTAATTTGAATTATTTGAACCTTTTTATTCATTAAAAAAAAAAAAAAAAAAAGAAAATGGAAGTTGTTTGGTGAGTTAAATGATTTAAATTTAAATAAGACCCTAAATTAATATTGTGTTTCACCTTGTGTTTTGTCGATTATCATATTGTTTATTGTCTGTCATATATTAGTACAATATAAATATATTGCATATTACAATTGATCTTACCATATAATATATATTAATACAACACATATAAATTAGAATAAACAAAATACTCCACTAACAAATAACAATCATTACTAAATATTTTTTACCTATTTTATATTTAGGTGATATCTGATCTAATTTCATATACTCCTTCCGTCTCATATCTATATATCTATTTACTTTTTTACGGAGTTTTAGAAATATTAGTATTATATTATAATATAGTAGAAGTAAAGGTAAAAAAAACTAAATTACCCTTATTAGTATTGTATGATATAAAAGTAATGACATTTGTGTAATATATTGTAAATTGGAAGGGTAGTTGTAATGTTAGGTAGATGTTACAGTTACTAAAAAAATGAAATGGATACTTCATTATGGGATAGAACGAAAATGAAAAAATGAATAAATTGTTAAACGAATGGAGTATTAATTAGCCTAAATCAACGGAATGACTATTTCTTTATTATTTAACTTACTCAAATTATCACATCCTTCTAATTATAATTTTTTTTTGTAGGGACTCGATGTTTAATTACTATTATTATATCTATAGTTCTGTTAATGTTTTTTTCTTCTTTTTTTTTGAAATTAATCATTCCATTATATTATTAAAATTTTTATAAAATTTCAATAAAATTTTATTTTATTTGTATAGTTTTGAATGTTTATGTCAACATGTAAATAATAGCTAGTGTGTTCCTTCCCTAAAATAAAAGATAAAATATATAATATGCAATTGTTGATGTAATTTTTCAACAAAAATAAAGTAAAATTCAAAGATATAGAAAATATCCTTAAACTTGATTAATTAGTGCCTGAGATTAGGAATCTCTAAACACTGTATGGTACAGAAAATAAACTGGAAAATAAAAGACTGAAATTTAAAGTGGTGATCCCCAAATCTGACTTTGCTTTGTTGAAGTTGATTGAAGATGCCTTGCCAAATGATGATCCAAATCCTTAAATATTATTTGAAGAAAACGTTCAGAACCGTCGCACTGTTTCACCAACCGTTCCCACCAGTTACAGAACTCAGAACTGCCTCTTTCATTGACACATGTCTTTAACCGCCTCGCCAACCGCATAACCCAACGACCGACCAACCGACCAATCTAGATACATAATTGGTCGCCAGATCAAAAGACTCACTGGTCGCCCCATCAAACGACCACTATTTGGTCTCTTCAATCGTCTGACCTATCAACAGACCTTTCTTCGCCCGACTTCCTTTTTCGACCGACCCCCATAGCAGCCAACCTTTGTATCAACCGACCCATTTATCCGACTGCGGATAATCCGACCTGCTTGCCCGACCGCGGACCATCTGACTTGCTTATCTGATTGAGAACCAACCGACTGAGAACCCTGACTCTGGATACCTTATTATTATTATTATTATTATTATTATTATTATTATTATTATTATTATTATTTTTTGTGCGTAACAACAATATAAACACATTACTATAAAATTAAAATATATAAAATATTATTCATTATAATAATTTTATGATTCTTCACACTTCAAAACAAAATATCTAAAATTATAATTTTAGGTATGAGAAAACATATAGGTAATATAAAAGACCATTTTATTATTAACTTTAATAAATATATAGAGTATGTATATTATATATATTGTGTGAGTTTTGTGTATTAATTGAAATATATATATATATATATTAATTGGATAAACATACTCAATTATTCGATAATACGATCAAATAATTTGGTCTCAATGAAGTGCTCTATATATTTATTATATAGATATATATATATATATATTAAAACGTGAAATAGTAGAATCATAGATTGTGTTCACTTAATATTTTATTTATACATAATTTTTTAAAGATATTATAAAAATTATAGTAACATACAATATATACACATGTAATAAAAGTAAAAATAAAAAATAAAAAATACACACAATTCGTCAATAAAAATACATAAAACAATATTTTCTATAATATTTTTACAATTTTCATACTTCACAAAAAAATACATAAATCCATAAATGCTAAATAAATTTTTTAAGATAAAATATTACTCGAATTTTAATAATAGTGAGTAATAATTGTTAATTTTTTTATAGTAAAAAAAATACTAAAATATAATAACTTTTTATTTTTTTTAAAAAAAATATGAATATTTTTTTATGACAATCCAAATAACCATAGATTTGAATGACGAAAAACCTATTTTTACGTATAAACATACAAATTATGCAATGAAAAATATATATATATATATGAAAAGAAAAAAGTCTTGTCTTCGTCCAGGCGCCAAAGCAGGAAAAATGTATAGAAACTGGTGCAATTATAAATTGTAGACATTGAAATTTTTTTCTATATATACATATATATATATATAATTAATTTGTTAGCCGATAAATGTATTTTTAGTTCAAAAATCTGATGAATGAATAGTAAAAATAAGAAAGAAAATACAAAAAGAATATAACTTGATATTCTATATTAGCAACGGATGTCGAATATAATATTGTTTGTTACAAAAACATTAAATCGAATCAATTATTTAACTAAAAAAAACCAAAATAAAAGCATATATATATAGTTAATGTAATAACGAACTTTCAAGATTCGAGAACAAAATTTGTTATAGAAACTATGAAAAATGAACCTGTAATGATCCACCCAAATTATAGCGTTGCCACGGACAATCTAGACGATTAACTGCCCACAAGCTACGGAAATGTAATATAGTCGCAAAAATTTTACATAAATAAAATAGGAAAGAAAGTATGAAGACTATAATGTTTAGTAGAGTGAGAAATTGATATATATATATATATAGATAGATAGATACAAAACATGTATAAATATTAATCGCTCTTCTTTCTTTACGTTAGTAGATTTTTGTCTTCACTTATGACTGAAATGAATTGCTTGACTCTTTAGACAATAATCATCGATTGAGACCACTCGCTAGTTGTTTATGAAATATATTATTCGCTGACGATATTTTTTTTTTAAGGTTCGGCTTTGTCCACACATTTTGTGTTCCGTATGATGTTGTTATTGTTACAAAATACAAGAAGAAGATAATTGATGACTCAATTTGATCGGAATAATTTACTTTTAGATGATCAATCCAAGTATTTTTATTAGTATTTTTAGTATAGATGTCACGAACAAAAATCTAGTGCATGCAACCCAAAAGCTATACAGACATACCAATTTTATCTTCTTTACATTTGTAGACAAAAAATTATGTTATTTTTATAACATACAAATATTTGTAAAAATTAAATTTAATTTGGATCGGATTTAAAGTAGATTTTATTATCTAAATGAATCATTTGATATAATAAATATCAACCAATATTGGATCATATTGGTTCAAATAAAAAAACTTTTCGATGAAAGACGACTTGAGTGACAAATAGAATATGAAGAACATTGCAGGAAAAATTTAGAGTCATACTATTTTGTTTGAATTTTCGAATGAACTTCGATATGTTAAATTACTTGGTCATGACCCCTATTTTTAGGGATGAATGATTCCGACCCTTTTCAAACGAGGCAATCATTGAAATTTTTATACTTCCTCTGTCCCATTGAAAGGTTACCATTTTCTATTTTCGTCCGTCTCAAAACAAGGTTACTATTTTCTAATTTAGTAACTGTATTACATGCCTAACATAATAAATACTTTTTTTAACTTACAATATATTACACAAATGTCATTACTTTTATATTACACCATACTAATAGGGATATTTTTATCTTTTTCACTATAATCCAATATAATATTAATATTAAAAAATCTACGTGCAAAACACAAATGCTATCCTTCCAATGGGACGGATAGAGTATTATTTATTTTCTCGTGAGATATCAATCATATATTTCTTTTACTGAAGATTCATTTATTTTATTGTCAAATTTATTGTAGTTTTATATATGCAAGTAATATTTGTATAATTTTTTATTTTTTTTGAATATTTTTTTGTATTACTAGTAAATATTTATTGCACAAAAATTAATATATTTGTATAAATAATCATATTTTAATTTTATTAATTTTTCAAAATATACTATATTTAATTAAATTTATATATTTATTTTTAATATTTTCAATAGTACTCTTCTAGACTCCAAATTGAACTCCACGTTACAAAATTTGCATTGATGATTCGACTGCAATTCGAGTAAGTTCCGTTCACGCAGCGGTGTTTTATGAAATAATTTTTTCTGTATAACATGAAGAATTGTGAAAAAATATAAAATATATTATTTTAAATTATGAATATTTGATTTTTCTTAATAAATTTTTTGATTTTTCTATAAACTATTTTGTGTTTATTATTATTATTTTTAAAAAATCGTAATTGAAAATTAGCATTGAGAGAACATGACGGATGTTTTCTTGTAATACGAATTACCTGTTATTCGGTTAAAATTTTATTTTTATTTTACAAAAAAGAATTGACTGCTTTTACAATTTTTATGTTGTACATGTACAACAAGATTTAAAATTATTATAGAATTATTCGTCACTGTATATCTAATTATTTATTAATTTTAATAATTTTTATTAATAGTGAAATATTTTGCTAAATTTAAAATTTAAAATTACATAAATATTTTTTAATAAATCAAATGTATTTACTGTATAAATATATATATATATATATATTAATATGTTATATATCATGATTGAATGTAATTAATATTATTGTGTATAATGACTACTTGATTTTATATTTATTTAGAAAAATATATGTCTACTAATAATAAATAAAATAATATAAATAAATGCATCAATAATAAATATATACTATCTCCGTCCCATAAATATAGTTTTAATTGCGTTAGGCACGACATTTAAGGAATATT